CTGTGGCGCGCTGTAGGAACGTGAGTAAGCATGTTTACAACAGATGAACAATGTTTTTATTTTTTATTATAACCAGAGAGTTGCTTTAATACATTTTAGCCCATTTTTTAAATGTATTAATTTATTTATTATCTCCCAATATTCTCCCCAATTTAGTTGTCTCCGCACTAGGAGGAAGAAGGCCAGCTCAGGCATCCTCTGAGACGTGTGAAGCCACTACATCTTTTACGAAATTCCTGGACAGCCGAACGCGCTCGGAGGAGAACGGAGTGGGGGCCATCCTACCCACCCAGAGAGAGCGAGGACAATTGCTCTCTTGGACTCCCGGCCACGGATGGCTGTGACATCAGCAGGGATTGAACTCGCGTTCTCCTGATGGGGCCAACGCTTAGACGGATGTGCCGGTCAAACGCTGGCACAAATTCTCAATCTATAGACCTCTGCAATACACAATATGAGGCAAGCAGGCATGTTCACAGCAAATTTCTCATTTTTGCTGGATTGTCCCTTTTAAGTTGGCCATTCATAGAGCCAGAAGTGCAGATCTGAACCTGTCCATGCAAAATGTAAATTTAAATATAATCTATTAAATAACTATGTAATTAAACGTGATTGTCTTGGAATTGGACAGCAAAATGCTGGTCAAAACTCTAGATGTGTGTTTGGTTGAAACAGGCTGTAATGACCTTTAACACTGGCCTGTATGTGAAATGATAAAGCCTCCAGCCGGATGATTTCTGTGTCTCTGAACCGATGTGCGGCGATCAGAGGGCTGAGCGTGAGGGCTTCCAGATGGCTGGGGTCGTCCTGCCAGCAGCGCCGCTCAGACACACAGAGACACACAGCAGTCTGCATGTTTTGTCTGCTATGATGATGTCTGTGTCACTTGGTGTCCCTGAACGACTTCTCAGCATCTAAATATAATGCAGCTTATCAATACACACAAAGAATATCAGCTTCCAGGAGAAGCTTCCCACGTTTAGTATCAAAGAAATGCTTTCCTGATATCAGCACAGAGGCACATTTCATAAGAGACAGAGAGAGAGACAGACAGACAGACAGACAAAAGCACGGAGATAAAGTGTTAAAAATCAGTGAAGACAAAAAACGAAGGAAGAACCGAGATGGAGAGGGAGGCGGCCGGAGGGATAAACGCGTGTCTCTGTATTTTCCCACGTTTGGTATAAAGGAAATTCCGCTGTGGTATCAGCACTGAGAGACGTTCGTATCAGAGCAGACAGAAAAACAGCTCTTTCTCTGAATGTGTCTGTGTCTCCTAGAAACACTGTGTTGAGGAAGGAATATCGTCTAAACCTGATAAGCTCCGTCTGCAAATCCAGACCATAATATTCTTACCCTGCACACAGACACAGCAGTCTCAGAAGGGTGAGAAGGTGGAGAATGCGGATTATTTATTATTATGTTGTTTGGGTGGTGTGATTTTTGTGCATGAGGCTCTGCATATTTAGTGCCAGACATGGGGTGAGTCTGCACCGTGACGTGCAGAGAGAGAGAGAGAGAGAGAGAGAGAGAGAGAGAGAGAGAGAGAGAGAGAGAGAGACACAGACATAGCAAGAGCAAGAGAGAGAGACATAGCAAGAGCAAGAGAGTAGACACAGAAAGAGAGTGAAAGGGAGAGAGAGAGACATAGCAAGAGAGGAGAATGACAGAGAGAGAGAGAGAGATGTAGCAAGAGAGGAGACACAGAAAGAGAGAGAGAGATAGAAAGAGAGAGTGAGAAATCGAGACATAGCAAGTGAAGAGACAGACACAGAGAGAGAGAGAGAGAGAGCGAGAGAGAGAGAGAGAGAGAGAGAGAGAGAGAGAGAGAGAGAGAGAGAGAGAGTGTGAGAATTTGAGAGAATGGCAAATAAAAAAAGAAAAAGGCAGAAACAGAAACAGAGATAGACAGAGGGAGTGACAGACAGAGAGAGAGAGAGGTGGAGGGGACTGGAGGAGTGGCGTGAAGAAGGGAGCGAGACAAAAGAGGGGTGCAGGGGAGTGTGAGGAGCATTAATGAGGGCAGCAGACAGCAGCCTGACCCTCTCAGACACTCAGACACACGCCAGACGACTGCACAGAGCCTCAGGGTGGGTGGGGGGTTGTGTGTTTTTGTGTGTGTGTGTGTGTGTGTGTGTGTGTGTGTGTGTGTGTGTGTGTGCGCGTGTGTGTGAGATAGAGATACACATGCAAACTCAAATACACAACAAGTCCACAGTGACAATCAGGCAACACACAGACCTTACAGTCTCAAATATAAAGATGACAAAAAGGTTACTTGCAGTGATGCAACCGAACAGGGCCGCCTATACTTTTGCTTTGAGGGGCCAAAGTGCAGTGCTTGCAGTGGGCTGAGGGCCAAGACAAAGCAATATACGAAAGAAGAAGGCAGTTAGGCTTCAAATTGAGTCTTTAAATAAGTCTTATGACATTATTTTGTGTTACTTTCATATTTTATTATTTTCAAAGGAAAATAATTAATCCTTTGGGCTGGATTTACTGCAGCAGAGATGTGAAAATAAAAATAATTATATTCAATTTTGTCCAGAAAAAATAATTATTGTGATACCTGCACTTAGTATTGTGATGTTCTACTTTTACAGCATCGCATCACCCATTACTGGAATGTCTTTGAGTGAGTATGAAGAACCTTTTTAAAGACTGAAGAACTGACACTCAATGAAAAGGTTCGGTAAAAACTGATAGTTTTTTTTTCTAAACAGTATGTGCAAGCCAGGAACAACTAAAGGGCCCATACCCTACATCTTCTGGCATACATGTTCTTCCTTGAGGCCCACTGGTAACATTTGTGTGGATTTATATACCAAAAATGGTCATAATTCATCTTCACATGATCGTTTTCTGCTTATTTTTTATCTTTTATACAGGCTGTTTCTGTTACTGTGCCTTTAAAATGTGTAAAAGAACTTTGCTCTGATTGGCTGCCCTGTATTGTGCCTCATTCAAGAAGCACTCAGAGCTGAAACACTCTCTAGAACTTCCAATATGAATAAGTAGGGGCTAAAGCGCTGTAGGCTGAACAGGTGGATAGTAAATGAGTTGGTTGTCGTGACATCGCAAACACTATGAATACAAAATGGGCTGTTTTTGCAACTTCCATTGAGAGACTGCATGGACTGGAGAGTGAAGAATAGGTTTTAAACATGGACAATGTTTACTTATCAAACACCTTCATTTAAAAAGGTGGGGGACATTAGTTTTTCCGTGATATGGACCCTTTAAGGAGCCTTTATTTTTAATTATTTAGAGTATACAGCACACAAAGGCTTGCCTTAAGTCTGTTAAATCGCCCTGCTTCACCTCAGGCCTTTGTCATCCCTCCACAGAAGTCATGTCAATCAGTCAGTCTCAAACACACACACACACACACGCGCGCGCGCGCACCACACTCACCCTTTACACCCCTATTGTCCCTGACACTCCCCTCCAGCTGCAGCCAATCCCCCCTCCCCAGGGTGAGCTACAGCAGGTTTGATTCTGGCCTTCAGACTGACCCCTTTGACCCTCTCTGTCACTCCCAGGAGGAATCAGGCCCCACATCATCCCCCATCTGCCCCCTACAGCCTCCGCCTATAGCCCCTAAGGCTCAGCCATGGTGTCTGGAGCCCCTACTGGTCACTCCAATGCATATCCAATCACGATTAAGCTTAAACACACAGACAGACACACACAAGGCTGGTGGCTAGAATAGCTCAGGGTCATCTGGTTCATATGGATACATTTTTTAGCCACAGATTAGAGCTTTTTTCCTTCTGTTTTCACACAGGAAGGCCAAAAGACCAATGCCAGGATGGCCTTAGACCATGAATGGAAATAACAGATACTGTAACACTATCAGATAAGCCTTTTTCAACATCTAAATATTAGACTGAGCAAATAAAGAAAGATGAAAGATTTAGCAAATTTCTGTACACAATATCTATTTATTTGCTGACTTTTACATGCAAACTAAAACATATAAAATGTGCCACAGCTCATTTTATATTTTTTCAATATGTTAAAACAGTATTTGTGCATTAAAATGTACAGAATTATGTTCTCAATAAAGTATGTGCTAACTTATTTTCAAAATCAACCCCTTTTCCTCTGTAATGGCACTTTTTTCTTACCCTAATCTAACTTTTCATTTTTAATTTGATTTTTAATCATCCTTTTTCATGTCTAATTTGATTTTCTCTTTTAAATCTGTTGTTTTAATCATGTTTAATTTCTATTCTCATTTTTTTTTTTTAACAACTCTGTATTTTCTCAGTTGTACAGCACTTTGAATGACACCAGCGTATGAAATAAACTGGCCTTGCCTTCCCATTTGACCAGAATCGGCCAATTTTTTGCATGTGACTGCACATATCCATGATGGCAACCGGCTAGCTAACTCTGATAACTGTCCTGCTGCTCAGGGCTGTTTTCAGAGCATCTAAACCTCTCTCCCTGTCTTCTCTCCCAGTACAAGATGCACATCAGCACCTAGTGAAGTTACAGTTGCACAAATTTCAAGCATTTGCTATTAATACCAGACTGAGGAAAAGGAGAACATAATCATTTAACCCGGGGGCGTCCAATCTTATCCTCAAAGGGCCGGTGTGGCTGCAGGTTTTCACTCCAAACAAGCTGAAACTCACCTTATCCACCCTGTTTAATCAATTAGTCTCAGCTCACGAGTGCTTTTTGAGCTCCTGCTTTGTCGGAATGAAAACCAGCAGCCACCCCTGCCACACAGGATAAGACTGGAAACTCCTGATTTAATGAAAAAACACCCCAAATGTAGATTGTTATTATAAAAAATCGTTTTATTGCTCACACCTAATCTAAATAGTAATTAGGTTATTAATATATCGAACTAGACACCCTCCCTGAAGACACTGGATCACACAATAACTTGGACTGAGTCATTTACCCACTTTATTTATTCATTTTTCTGCCCACCCACCAATCAGCTTGCACCTCCCCTCCTCTCCTAAAGAGGCGCCCGTACTCACATAGTCTGGGAGGGCCGCGTTATCGTCTGCTCCCAGCGGCCTCTGCAGAGACTGCGTGGCCTGCTCCAGAACCTTATTGTGCTTCTTTGACAGCAGGGCAAACAGGCTGGAGAGAGACAGAGAGAAGAGAGAAAGAAAGAGAAAACAACAAAAACCCAGGTCAGTTTAATCACTCAACCACTCAAACAGCAGCTAAGCCAGCGCAAGACTTTCTCCAGACGAAAACGTGACCCTGTTTGTGCTCCACTTGGCCACGCCTTTTATAACAGCAGAAAACAAAAACATGTTATTCCAATGTTTTCGACGGACGCCACCCTCGTGGTATTGCTGTTTAGTTTTGCGTGATCTAAGGAGAGAGTAATTCCCAGTGTTGAGAGAAGGCCTCATTCACACAAAGAAGCTGCCTTTCTATTGTTTCACTTTTTAATCCGCTTCTTAAAACGACTACAGTGCTGAGGTGCCTTTCATTTCACAAAAGTCTGGCCACCGCTGGGGTTGCGATTGTGTCATAAGTCTGGCTCCGGCCTTCTGGGCACATCAAACCCTTCACTAGTTATTCACAATTTCTACGAACAGCAATTCAGACGAAAATAACATGAGGCAAAATATAGAAAATGAGTCACGGCAGCTGAGACAGAAAGGGTGAGTGAACAGAGGCGACTAAATAGTGCACGTTCTTCTCGTCAGTAGATTAAAAAAAACAACAGGAAAAAGCCCCAAAAGGTTTAAAACATCTGTGTGCGTTCGTGTCAAAAGCCTTAGAAGCTGAGTTAACACTGTTTTGCTATAGTATATAGAAATAATTACAAAAAGACATGTTTAAGTTCATAGTTATGTATGGAATTACATTTGCATTAGCAATACACTGAAACGAAACATCGGGAAAAGCAATGCAAAACTTGTCATTTTATTTTTGCTTCTGAATTAATTTTATAATGCTGACAATGCCTCTAAGACAACAATCGCCAAGCTGAGAAAGAGAGAACAAGAGGACTAATTAAATTTTAAACAGCTTGCTAAAAGATATTAACTATTAGAAGCTATAAAAGTGTTAGAATGTAATACTTTATGGTTTCCCAAGGGCATCTATAGCTAAATAGCTTCCATACCTAACAATATAAAGCTAGTTAAGTCTAAAAGGCTAAAAACTACAATATCTACACATACAATAACTACGAATTACCAATAATAACTAACTAGAATACTAAATAACATGCTAAATGCGATGAGACGATGTGTATGGAAAAAACGGCGCTGATGTTTTCCCTCGCTCTCGGCTCGTATGGTCTCATATTTATGAACGGCACGAGCAGAGCCATCTCTCTGCATGGCTCTGGGCACAAGTAGGGCAACATCAGGGGGCGGTTATGTTGGTTGACTGACTTGCATACTGTGACGTGTCATGGTACTTTGGTACGAAGACACGTCATCCCCGCCTATAGCAGAGTTGAACCAGAGGGGCGCAGCAGAGGCGGAACTGACCGCGATAAAAATGATATTTTTACAGTTTGGAAAGATGTTTTCACATTTCAAGCAAGACTGGTATATTTTATTATTACAGAGCAATGCATTTTAGCTATTAATGAAAAAAAGGGCCTTAAGTTGCAGTTACTCGATAAAGAAGAAACAGCCATAAACCTTAACAATTCATTTGTTGTGTGTTACGATTTTGACACTTTAGCATAGACCAGTTTAATGTTTTGCCATTTTCGGTCAAAAATTTAAGCCTTTTTTCTGTTTTGGCTGAAATTTTGTGGTGCATCTCTAATTTACATTTAAGTTACATTCTGTGACGAATGGCGAAAACATGGCAAAAATGTAAAGGATAGATTATTTCCACAAAACGTATCTGCATGCAGAATAAAAGCTTTTTATTTAACTCAATCTTTAATAAAAGATACATTTTTATTTACATTAAAGTTTAGAATCTTCACTTTTGATAGTGTCTCTGCTTGTTTCAATACGCTGAGTAAGAAGCATTTACTAGAAAGCTACCATGTTTTTGTTATCACTGTTAGCAACTTCTAAGGGCTAATGTTGTGCACGCACAGGATCTGTAACTATAAGCACAGCTGTATACTCTCTGTAGCAGATCAGTATCAGTATTTATCAGATTCTCTGTTTGTGTTTGTGGAGCAGCGTTAAACAGAACATCACCCCTCAACTCCTATAGCGTAAACACCAGGTACAAATAGCCAGCATTCTTCATTACTTTCATGTTGCTTCACAGCGTTTACATTAAACATGGTAATTCTTACTGAACAACCACTGATCATGGTGTAGATGGCTAAAGCCAGATTAAACGCTCAGACAGATTTCAATAAATGACTCCGAACAGAAGTCCAAAACAGCATCAGCGTCACTCAGATCCTCTAAAAGCATAAACAAGACAGAAAGGTTCGAATCTCCTTCCAAACAATTTGATTATAATTCTTGGTCAGACTTTTTTTTGGATGGTGCCCTATAGATGCTCTACAGACACTGAAATCATTAACAAACTGGTGATGTTAAGTTGATTATCAACAATATTAAGGCTAGGGTTAAGGTTAGGAGTAGATGTGGGTTTTGCCTGGGGGTTAAGATTAGGGTTAGGGACAGATCTAATAAACTCCTTCACACTGAATATGAAGTTTAATTGCATTTAATGGATATTTAGTTGAATGTTACTTATAGACAGACTGAGCATTTACAAAGCATCTACAGTGGACCATCCAAATAAAGTGTTACCTTTAGCAAACAATTTGATCATAATTCTTTAGCTATATTGTTGCTTTGCACTCGAACTCAAACCACAGCTTTGTTTTGGCTGTTTAAGTTGTTTCGCCTCAAAACGTTGTGGTTTGAAGGATACTGCTGGCTTTAGGAAGTCAAGAAAATTCTTTAAAAATTGATCATGGCAGCAAGTTTGTTTTTTTGCCAGGAAAAACTCTATGGGCTGGTCTACCAGACATAGATTAAGCCTAGTCTAGGCCTGAATTGAAGTGTAAATGGTAAATCCCCACTGGAAATTGTGTTTAGGCTAGGATTTAAACCTTAATCTGGATGTGAAAATGAGATCTGGTATGTAATAATAATAACTGTAATCCATATAGCTTCTTTCTTAAGCCCAAGGACTTTACAACAGTAACAAAAAACATTAAGCGTGTTTTCATGCATTTAATAATCCGATAACTGCAGAAAATCTGATTTTGTCAGTAATCCGATCAATGCATTTACATGCACTTTAGTAATCAGATAATGGGGAAACATGAGTCAGATAGTAATCAGATTTCTGCTTTGCAACCAGTCAATACACTTAAAGAAGAAGACGTGACGTAAATGTAAAACTCAAACTTCATGCCACGGCTTTTAAACACCGCGCCACTTTACCTGAAAATACAAACATACAGCATCTAGAAAATTAAGAATATTTAAATTTCTTATTTTGTCAAGCATGTATTTGGTTTCAGCGTCACTCCAACAGTGTTTTACTGTGTCTCGCGGCGACACTGCTTGCTTATTTCTGGTACAGCAGTCTGTTTTCACACATTCACAGACTGAGAAATCCGAAAGAAATCAGAGTAAGAGTTCACATGCACTGAGAAATCTGATTACTTCTGATGACTTCTTAATCGGATTTCTAGATCGGAGTGTGCTGTTTACATGACCATTTGAATAATCAGATGACTGCAGAAATCCAATTATGATCGGATTATTGAGTGCATGTTAACAAACAGTCTCGCTGTATCGATTTGTTCAATTCTATCAGCAGCACCTGATTTAATTAATGAATGACTGATTAGACAAACTAGAGAATGAATGGTAACTGTAAACCTCAAGAAGTTCCTCAAGGAGAGATTTGGAAATGGTTAAGCTTACAGACTTGAACAAAACAGTGTTTATTTATTTTTATTTATTCTAATGTTGAAATAAATGTTTTTTGGCTCTGCATATCATTTTCTCAGAAGAACTTTTGCACAGTATGCTTTACATGCACACATGCAGTTGGACCACTACCTACAGTTCAGCACATCACGATGCACTTTTACACTCCAACAGAACAGAACAGAGCCGCAGCACTCGGAGATCTGCTGAATATGTGTGCGCTGCTGTCAGCTCGGGGCTGTCGACTGTTTATAGTGACCTTCAAACCTCCACTTATGCTGCATGTTTATGTGAATAAAGTCAACATCAGCGCCAGTATGTGTGTGTGTTTGTGTGTTGGGCTGAATGGCAGTGGTTGGAGGTTAATGTAGCTGCGCTACACGTTTGTGGAAAAAGGTTAAAGGAGCTGCGCTGCACATTTCTGAAAGCAGGTTAAAAGAGCTGCGCTGCATGTTTGTAGAAGCAGTATAAAGCAGCTGTGCTGCACGTTTGCAGATGTAGGTTAAAGTAGCTGCACTACGCATTTATTGAAGCAGGTTAAAAGAGCTGCGCTGCATGTTTGTAAAAGCAGAATAAAGCAGCTGCACTGCACGTCTGCAGAAGCTGGTTAAAGTAGCTGCACTACAGGTTCGGAAATGCCAGTTAAAGTAGCCGCACTGCACGTCTGTAAATGTGGGTTAAAGCAGCTGCACTGCACATTTGTAAATGCAGGTTAAAGCAGCTGCACTGCATGTTTGCAGAAGCAGGTTAAAGAAGCTGAGCTGCACATTGTGGAAGCAGAATAAAGTAGCCGTGCTGCACATCTGCAGAAGCAGGTTAACATAGCTGCACTGCATGTTTGCAGAAGCAGGTTAAAGTAGCTGCGCTTGTGGAAGCAGGCTGATGATGGAGAGGGGGGAGTATTATGGGAAAGGTCAAACATGATTCACACTGATGACCTCATCAATCATAACCCACAATGTCTAGCCTTGAGCGGTGGCCTGCACACGAACTGCACACAACCTCCATATCAAACACATACACACAGCACATCCACTCACCCTACAGACAACTCTTAAAAACACACATTTTTATGCACAGTGCTGTGCAAAAGTCTTGTCTAAAACCATTTATCTGGAATATATATATATATATATATATATATATATATATATATATATATATATATATATATATATATATATACACATACACACACACACACACACACACACACACACACACACGCATACAAAAAAAGTA